ATGATCTCATGAGGTCCCTTCCAGTCCTAATGTCTATGAGATTTAAGAAATCTAAGAGTATTGGTGGCAGGTCAAGGGAAGTGATTATTCCCCTCTATTCAGCACTGGGGAGGCCACATCTAGAGTCCTGTGTCCAGTTTTGGACTCACTACAGAAAGGATGTGGACACATAAGAAAGTATCCAGTAGGGGGCAAAAGAAGGGAGGAGGGCGCTAGCTGAGGCAGGGATGGGGGGAAAGGCATGAGAATTACACCCTTCGCATTGTAGGGAATACCATTCACAACCTGAGGAAGAAGGTTGTCTTGAGTTCATCCTGAGTACCTAGTGAGTCCAATGGCAGACAGGGTTCTTTGGGTAAATCTGCTCTCTTCTGTTAGACAAACGTGAATACTTGGGAAAATTCTGCTTAGCAGCTGGTCAGGTATAAATCCCCTGCATCAGGTTGAGGAAGCATCTGCAGTTGATGTGTGCCCTTCCTGGATGGATAAAAACTCTCTCCCTTAGAAATCCTGGTCTGTTATCTTTAATGCATTGAGCAGTGGTCTGGATCGCTGCAGTAGTTGCCCTGTATAATGGCCTGTGCAATAACCTAAAAATGATGCTTTATCCACTTGTTATCCCAGGCTCATGAACAGCAATTCAAAATGGATTTGCTGTGAAGGCCTCATCATCAGGGTTTTTGGGATAGAGTGAAACTTAAGAAATGGCTTGCACAACTCACCCAGTCAAAATGGCCCCATGCCATCTAGATAATCATTCTTAGTGATGCTGAGTTAGGTGACTTGCACTTGGATGCAGATGCAGATGTGCATGAATCAGGTACTCTGTGGTGTCTAAATAGAGAAATATTTGTAGGCTTAGGTAAGAGTTATGCTCAAAGGGGGGGTGCAAAGCCCAAGGTTGTATTACACAAATTAGCATCAGGCAACAAACTGGATCAACATAGTTCATCTGCTCTGTTTGCAAACACTATGTGGTGAGACTTACAGATGTGCAGCGCTGTCATTACAGCGTTTTTTGGTTTGTGTATTAATAGGACATCCATCTTATAAAATAATGTTGTTAAACTACTGGTATGTTTGTGACACGCCCAATATAAAATTCTTGACACACAGAAAAATACAAAAATCTTATTAAAATAGTTCTCAAGAGTGGATCTGATTGAGAAACTCTTGAATTGTGCCCCTCTGGATAAATAAGCAGTGAGAAATAAATGTCATACCAGAGACATGGACCGGAGCCCTACCAGGAAGGCTGAAATGGGACTGTTGGGGGTTACAAGATACAAACCACCTGTACACTAGCCAAGAACGTATTTCTTGCCATACTACTGCCTTATTAACTAACCTCTTCCAAGGAAATCAGTGAAAGGGATAAC